CACTAACTAAATAAATAAATAAATAAATAGGGGTCATTTTGTAAAGGTATAAACTAGTTAACTAGTGAATTTACAGAATTATTTAACTTACCAACGAAAACAGGGTTTCAGTTCAGCTACTAACTAAGCAACTAACTACAGATGAAAGGTTCAGTGAACTCAGAAACCAGTTCACTAACAAATAACCTGGTCAAGCAGCTGAACTGATTCACTGTGATTTCCCGCAACTACCTCATTAATTCGACTGACTGGTGAACAGAACTAACCTCTGATATACCTGTTTATCTGTTCACCTGCTTGTTCCCCACATTTCTGCACTTTGCTGCTGTCAGTGCAAAGTTTGCTGCCGAACCCTAACCCTTACCTGTGTGTTTACCTGTGTGTTTACCTGAATGTTTACCTGAATGTTTACCTGAGTGTTTACCTGAATGTTTACCTGAGTGTTTACCTGAATGTTTACCTGAGTGTTTACCTGTGCTTTTACCTGAGTGTATACCTGAGTGTTTACCTGCTTGTCTCCAGGGAGTATAATGTGTCAGAGCCAAACAGCATCCTGCAAGAGAACTTCTGTAGAAACCCTGACCGTAATCCAGATGGACCCTGGTGTTTCACCAAAGACCCAACGGTCCAGAAAGAGACGTGCAGGGTCCCAACATGTGGCAAGTTTTCACTCGTACCACTGACTTCATACAAGAAACGCAATCATAAATTTTGCTTTTCCTACATACAGGCCTCTAGTCCACATCTTCATCCTTCTAGTTCTACAGCTACACCAGCTGTTGGTGCTGCTACATGAAACCACTGCAGCACTCACAGCTACGCTCTGTGACTGTTCCTTTCAAGGTCAGGACTTTGTCCCTCCATCTGTGGCCCCCATACTAGTCAGAACGACAGAGTGTTTACCCAGTTATGGCATCGACTACGTTGGCGACCTGGACGTCACCTTGGGAGGCCACACCTGTCTGCAGTGGTCATCACCGGAGGTGACAGCCCTCAGCAAGGACAAGGACTTCATCCCTGAAGTTAATCTGCTGACCAACAAGTGCAGGAACCCGGACAATGACCCCGAAGGCCCCTGGTGCTACGTGCACATTTCTGGAAACATCACCATTGACTACTGTGACCTGGAGCTGTGCGGTAAGGAACAAACCCACAATCTACTTTCACATAAGTGTTGGTGCATACCTGCGTCTCACCTGTCGAACTGCACCTGTATGTCTGCCAGACGATCCGCTGCTGGGTGAAGAACAGACGACGGAGACCGCAGGCATGGAGCGCTCCGTCTTAGGTCCCGCCAAGAAACTCTTCTTCAATCCACGAACCTTTGGACAAGGAGAGAGCGGTGAGTTCATCCACTGGCCTCTCATAACCTGTGATGGCTTTGGGCCGAGTCATAGAACTAGTGTTAGTCCACCTTGTGCTTCCGCTATCAACAGTCCACAGGTGGTATTCCTGCTTCAGGTGCAGTTCAAATCCCAGAGAAGCCTCCATGTGTGTCATCAGCTGCAGTGGACATCAACTCCAGTTTACAAAAATAAGAGTTTTATTGCAGTACATAAATATCAAGGGAATAAAGAGACACGACTCCACCGTCATGACTCCCAGCCTCACCTGCTCAGGTGTGGACAGGTAGGACAGGTAAACTGATGAGCGATAACTAGTCGTGAAGCAGGTAATACAACAAACCAGTTAACAGTGTGATTGACTGAATGAAACAGCAAGAGCTGCTGACCTGGTTGGCAGTAGATAAATGATGGATGGAGTCCAAAGGCAACACTGGACTGTAGGTTCTGTTCAGGTTCTAAGGTCTTCCCCTCCCTGTGTTCAGCGCTGTGACGTTCCCTGTGTCGTTAATTATAAATAAACATGAATCGAATTCAACAGGTGAACTGACTGACTGGTTGACTTTCACTTTTATCTCTACATTTGGCTAATGTACTGGCTGACAAGGTAACTAGTTGGCTAGCTGGTTTACAGCTAGTTTGGCAGAAGGTGTGGCAGAACTGCATCTCTCTAAGAAGTGGAGGAAACTTGTGGTTCAGTAGTGATCAAACTGGCAGATTAACTGGTCAACTGGTTCCTTAGCTGACAAACAGCTTATGTACGAGCTGACTAGTTAGTTCAGAGGTTTACATACTTGATTTGCATCACTGACCATTTGGATTCACTGGTTGACTGGCTTTCTCAGCCGATACTAACCACATGACTAACAGCTGTTTACCAAACATTCATGTTTGCTACATTTGACAAGCAACTTGTTTATTTATTTAATTTGGTGCTGACTCGACAACTAGTTGGTCAACTGGTTTGCAGCCGACTTGAGTAAAAGTGTGGGACAGGAAACTGGTTTACTTACTGGTTAAATGGTGGCTGACATTAACTGGCTGGCTCCTAACCTGACCAGCAGTTGGTTTACTTATTAATTCAATTTTATTTGTATAGCGCATATTTACAACAATAAGTCATCTCATAGCGCTTAACAAAGGCAATTATTAGATAGCATTAGACATACTGCCTGGTTAACGGGTTAAATTAGCAGCTTTAGTGATGGGTGTTTCACAGCTTACGACACTAGTTCATTGACTTATTAACTGGTGCTAGTTAACCCGTTTACAATGTGGTAGACCATCTTTCTGACTGGTTTACTGGCCGGATGTGTTGTAGACTGTGGACAGCGCCCCCTGTTTGAAAAGAAGAACAAGCAGGATGCGAAGGAGGAGGAACTGTTGGCGTCCTACAGGGGCAAACGCATTGTTGGGGGCAACGACGCAGAGGTGGCCTCGGCACCATGGTAACCATCTTTATAACAAGCCGTCACCATGGTAACCACATAATACAAAACAGGATAACCATGGTAACCATGTTTAGAACAAGCCGTCACCATAGTGTCCAGACTTCATGTATATTTATAAACATATACATGTGTGTTTGAGCAGCTTTTAATAAAACTGCTGTTTTCGTCCAATGACAAAGCCAGATTCTCCTGTTGGCAGGCAGGTGATGCTGTACAAACGCAGCCCACAGGAGCTGCTGTGTGGAGCCAGCCTGATCAGTGATCAGTGGATCCTCACTGCAGCTCATTGCATCCTGTACCCGCCCTGGAACAAGAACTTCACCACCAACGACATTCTGGTCCGTCTGGGAAAGCACAACAGAGCTAAGTAAGACGGCCTGCCTGTGTTTAAAATTCACAGAAAGGATATTGTCGGTGTTTCTGCACACAACACATGAGAATGTTTTTCTCAGGTTTGAGCGTGGCACTGAAAAGATCGTCGCAATTGATGAAATCATCGTCCACCCGAAGTACAACTGGAAGGAAAATCTGAATCGTGACATCGCTCTGCTGCACATGAGACGGCCAATCATATTCACTGATGAGATCCATCCCATCTGCCTGCCCAACAAGAAGGTCGCCAAGTTGTAAGGCCCACACAGAAACCAGCTGTAGTCAGCCAGTGTTAAAACTCCACGACTGACGAACCAACCCTAATCCTACAAACTAACCCTACTAACTAACCCTACTGACTAACCCTAAACCACACAGAAACCAGCTGTAGTCAGCCAGTGTTAAAATTCCACTACTGACGAACCAACCCTAACCCTACTAACTAACCCAAATCCTACTAACTAAACCCAACCCTACTAACTAACCCTAACCCTACTAACTAACGCTACTAACTAACCCTAAAACACACAGAAACCAGCTGTAGTCAGGCAGTGTTAAAACTCCACTACTGACGAACCAACCCTAACCCTACTAACTAACCCTAACCCTACTAACTAGCCCTAATCCTACTAACTAACTAACCCCAATCCTACTAACTAACCCTAACCCTACTAACTAACCCTAATCCTACTAACTAACTAACCCTAACCCTACTAACTAACCCTAATCCTACTATCTAACTAACCCTAACCCTACTAACTAACCCTAATCAGTGTGGAACTGGACTAAAGAGTTCCTGGAATTCAGCATCAGAAACTTGTGGGGGGTTGGATGCCTGAAAGCAGGCATCAGAGATCTGACCGATGGGACCGCTGAGTAGATCTCAGATAACAGACCCACATGAGCTTTCCTTTATCACCAGACGGTTGAACTATGAAGCAGGTTTAACAGATCCAGACTTTTTGTGTGACTTAACTAAACTAAACCCCAGTCACAGACCACAGGTATGACAAAGGTGGTTCAACTCAGACTTTCTGCTTTAAACTCTAAACCAGGGTTGTTCAATTACAAGTCACTGAGGTCCAGTAATTAACATTTCCTCCAAGCAAGAGGTCTGAACCCAGGTCCAGTTATTTGGGAATTATTATTTATTAAAGGTCTGAACCCAGGTCCAGTTCGTGTCCTACAGCCTTCCCCTGTGGCCACATGTCCATGGTTTCAACAGCACGTAGTCAGTTTCAGAGCAGGATGTTGAANTAAGAACCAACACCTAACTACCAACACCTAAGAACCAACACCTAGTTACCAACACCTAACTACCAACACCTAAGAACCAACCCCTAAGTACCAACACCTAAGAACCAACCCCTAAGTACCAACACCTAACTACCAACACCTAAGAATCAACACCTAAGTACCAGCACCTAAGAACCAACACCTACCATCACATAAGAACCAACACCGAAGGACCAACACCTAAGAACCAACGCCTAACTACCAACACCTAACTACCAACACGTAAGAGCCAACACCAAAGAACCAACACCTAACTACCAACACGTAAGAACCAACACCTAACAACCAGCACCTCACTACCAACACCTAACTACCAACACCTAACTTCCAACACCTAAGAACCAACACCAAAGAACCAACACCAAAGAACCAACACCTAACTACCAACACCTAACTACAAACACCTAAGAAGCAACACCTAACTACCAACACCTAAGAATCAACACCTAACTACCAACACCTAACTACAAACACCTAAGAAGCAACACCTAACTACCAACACCTAAGAATCAACACCTAACTACCAACACCTAACTACAAAC